GACGGCTTTCATGCCTGAGGGAGGATTGGAACTCACAGTCTCCTGCTTTCTATTCCAGCACCTCAATCACTACACTAAATTGGCTCGCTAATATTCATGCAGTTTTCTTAGCTGTGTCATGGAAATGGTCTGCCACTGCCCTCTTCCACAATGTTTTTTCAACTTCTAGTCTAGTCTGTAGCCCTCGAATTCCCAGATGATCCCTCATTCAGAACCAAACATACTTAGTTTCTAGGATCAGTCAAGGTCAGATAAGAGGCACAAGACAAAGTAAAAGATCCGAAGATCCATACAGCGGGATGCTTTCCCATGTTCTCCTTTATTTCTTCTAAAAAGCTGTGTATTTGATCAAGAGGGTGCCCAATCCTTCAAGGCAGACTTCCTCATACCACTGTATATTTTCAGAGTTACCCTTTCCTCATTTGGTGGCATAATTTGTTTCATAAGTAGGAGGAGCTAGTATCATTATTTATGTAATTATAAAGTCTGGTTCTTTAAACAGAAATGTAGGGAACTAACTATAGTATCTAGAGGAACATTCATGTTCCAACAAAAACAGGGGTTCTCTTAATGAGAACCAGACATGACCACTATGTGCATCATTTATAGCTCTATAATACATAATAGTAGATATACACATAAAAAAAGCAAATTCTGATCCATCAAAGAGGCAGGGAATATATTTCCTTAAGAAGCATTTTTATTATGAAACCAAGAATGAAATGTTGTACTGGTTTCAATACATCCTGCAAACATTTCAAAACAAGTAACCCAACTGTCAAAAAGTGTTGAGTAAAAGACATGTTATGAAATTCAACACAAAAAATAAAATAAGAATTTTAGGATATATAACGGACACCATAACACCCAAGGACTAAATAGCAAATAAATCATTAGACTGTTGCTCAAAGAAGGCATAAATAATGAAAAGCATAGGCGTACTGTAGAACAGACTAATTTCAAAATATTAAATGAAGCATGGATCCAGTATCAGATTAAGAAGAATTTGCAAATTATTTTTCTATATATAGTTTGATTTGTACTAAGACAAAAGGAATTAACTATGAGATATAGGGGGGGGAAATCATATTTCAAATGAAAGATTAGGGTAAAAAAAGTCCAAAAGAGCCCAAATTGATTACCATTCAAAACAAAAGCCAACCAGTAACAGTATAAAACCTCTGATAAATAATTAAGAATGTTTTTAAATACAGAAAAAACTACTGACAACTTCTTCTTTCTACAAAGGATGAAACAGATTTGCAATAAAAGTTAATATCTGTTTAGGCTATTTGAAGTAAAAAAAAAAAAAAAAAGAGCTTGATATACATTTAGATAAAGATGAAATCACCTAGACAAAGATGTATTCTTGCTCAGCTACAAATGTATTTAATTTCTAAAGCTCGTGTGAATAAATTATCTATAAGAAAATAGGATGTGGTAATGCAATAGGCAAGAAGTTTTCTCCAAGTAATTATCTTTAATAAATTGAAACACTAAGCATCAGATATTCAAAATACATTCAGTTCAGAGAGAAACATAGAACACTGTATTTGAAAATCAACTGCAAATTTAAAGTTATGTTAAAAAAAAACCTGAACATGAATACCATATTTTGTAATAATTTTATACCTATCATTTTAAGGACTTTTTTGGTACTATTCTTAATGGAGGAAATTCTTGTATTCATGGCAAATGAAATTTAAAAGCTTTGAGGCATAGTTCTAAAACATTACTATCAACAGAGCATCTCTGGCAAGCTGTATAGCTATTTCACTAATTTCATATTAGGATGCAATTAATCCTATTCTGTGGGAAACTTATATAAAATATTATTACTGCACAACATATAAAAAGTAGGTCTAATTTAGGGGAGGATAATACAAGACCCATCCTAAGATTTCATAACTTCATAAGCTCCAACATTTAGTGAACATATGTAACCCCAAGGAGAAAATGTTTCACCTTTTAGTACAAGTAAAATCTAAGATTAGGAGCAATCAGAAGAAATTAATCAACTTTATTATTGGAATTTATGAATGGAAGAGAAAAACTATTTCTTAGCCAGAGTTAATGGGAAAATGGAAATACTGAGGCAATGAATGCTTACATAAAAACGCAAGGACTGCTCAAACAACATTTGATTTATTTATTACTGATCTAGTTTAAATGGAGCTGAAGGTGACAATTCTTATTAGTTGGGGAATCCTTTTGCTTTGTACAGGTGCTTCTACCCTAGAAAGAAGCAACAATATGTGTTTTGGATACAAATGGCTAAAATAATTTACCACTAGATCCAAATTGGTTACAACATACGCAGGCAGAATATTTTTATTCTGTACTTTTCAAGTCCAAAAGAGTGTGGGGTAGGGTGCAAACAGCACAACTCAACAGCTAGCTTTGAAATACAAAATCAAGATTTGTTTGAGGGAGAAACTGTATTCTTCCTTAGAGATGAAGAATAAGAATGTTTAAAACATACACCCTGAACAGGTAAATACTAAGAGGAAGATCGTCAGACAAGGCCAAAACGTTCTGCTCTTTTTCTCTTCTTTGCCTGCAAATAGGAATTAAAAGATGAATTAAAAAAAATCAAAACCAAAGGGAATGGCAACTCTGAGCATGTGTTTTGGCATAAGGAAAAGCAGAAAGTCTATGAGGAGAGCAACAGTATTCGTTTAAGAAAGCATTTTTCATATCAGATTTCACAAGGGGCACTCCTATTGCAATGGGGCCTCCAACTACAGTCAGAAATTAAGCTATAAAGCATGAGATACAGTGATCTGGTAGTTGCTTCATCCTGCTGGCTTATACAAGAAAGTTCTGCTTGGAACAATTACCATTTTACAGGCTTAGAAAGCCTTCCAGGCAATAGGAGGTGGGAAATGTAAAAGGCCAAAGGGTTAACACTCTTCTATTCACGAAGAAGGCGAGTGGGACACAGTCAAATGCATTGAATACACTCATGCGTCTTTGAGATATGCCTCTAAGTCAATACACCAGGGGCATATAAATCTTAATTTTTACCAGGATAAATAGCTTAGGGGGCAACAGAAGTCCTAATCAAGAATCTCCAGGGAAAAGGTGTCATTTAGCATATACAATGCTAGAAAAAGACCTTTTTGTTTCAGGCACACTCACTAAGTGCCCTAACGGAAAAGCATGGAATCCCTCAGACCAGAGCCCAGCCACCCCCTTCACTCAAACTGAACAGGCAGATCATTCTACAGCTGCTACTTCACTTTGTGGAGCAATGCTTGCACTGCATCTAGGGAAAACACAAAGCACAAAACCATATCTGAACCCCACAGAAGATGCCAATGAAAATAAACTTCCTGTTTGTAACACTCAAGAGTCAATCCAATATCCAAATACTGTTCCCCTTCCATAAGTGAAATTAGACTACAGCAAGAGGACTACTTGTGGTTGACATTACAGCTTAATAGCACGATCAACCTGAACACAAAGTTGCTGAAATAAAAGGACTGCATACTAGAATAGAAAGATCAAATTAGTTTAAGGGGAAGGAATCCTAAGACTGATAACATAATGGCAGATTCCTGCCATCAAGAATTTACAAAATATGACATGAGAAAAGCAGTAGGAATGTCTTGGTTTTTCAAACACTGGAAGAGACAACAAGATAATGTTGCATGCATGCAGTGTGACATATATATGTCCCACATTTTAAAAATCACCTTTTAAGCTCTGCATTAGATAGAAAATTAGCCTGGATCTACAATCCCTAATTCAGAATCAACTATGTTGGTAACTGGGTGATCCTGGACAACTCATAAGGGTAGACGTACAAGATAAACTAAACCATTACAAGTTTTAAATCAATTGTATAAGACAATGGCAGAAAAATCTAGCTATTTTATTCTTCAAAAATTATCCAACCTCCTATCACAGAGCAATGATCTGAAACTATCTTTAAAGAGAAAAAGAAGCAAATTTCTGAGACAATCAAAAATGGTTTATATCTAAGTTAGTATACAGGTAGTTCCTGGGTTAAGAACACCCGGTTTAAGGACAACTCATAGTTAAGAATGGAGTCTATTGCAGCAAAATTTGAGTTAAATATACAATGATCTGAGTTAAATACACAATGGTTCGAGTTCATTAGGCAATTCTACTTATATAGTACAGCATTATACAATAATACTGTTCTGGCTTACATACAAATTTGACAAGTTCAGCTTACGTACAAATTTGACTTCCCAAATACAAATTGGGAAGGGAACTCGTTCTTAAACTGGAGACTACCTGTACAATAATTTAAAGGGACTATGGGGCCTGGGCAAAGAAAAGCATAAAAGGCACACAGTGCCATCTTGTGGAGTGTCTGACATTATTTCAATCACAGAAAGTCTCAGCTCTCAAGATGTTACAAAAAATGTTACCTCTGTGTCTTCTGTGGTTCCTGCTCCAGCTGAACTTGTAACAATGCCAAATCTCTCCTTTCTTTTTTTCAGCTTTTCGTCATCTTCAGTCTATACAGAAGTAAGAAGAAATTATTTTATTGGAATGTGGCCAAGAGAATAATTTTAATTGCGGTCATCCTATTTTGCTACCTGGAGTCTCAAAGAATTGGTAGAAAGATATTTACAACTAGCAGTTATTGCATGCATTGAATTGACACCATTCTCAATATGCAATTATAAGAAGTAGATCAAAGAAACAGCCAGGGTTGCTGAATGATCAAGTTTGTTCTATTTTGGTTGTCTTCCTAGCCATAAAAACTGTAACCTAAATCCAGAATCAGTGAAAATGGCAGTTGCTACCTGAAATAGACAATGATGTGCAATGCAGTGATAACCGGGACTGAGGAACAGCATGTCATATTTCTGAATTCCTCTTGTCTAGCTTTTAGCAGCAGCAAGGCATTTAAAAAAAGAAGAAGAAATTGAAATGAGTGCCTCAAGCACCTGATAGTATTATGCTATTTTTTTTCCAAAACTAACAGCAGGGCCAAACTATTCACCTAGTTAATTAAACCAATAAAGATGATAACAGTTTGACCTAACAACTAATAATTTTAAAAATGTAGACTTTCTTTCCTCTAAAATTGAGAATTTAAGCTGAAAGCATAAAATCTTCTTTGTGTGACAAAAGCATTTTAGGACTGTTTTAGGACTGGGAATTATATAATGGGACAACATAATGTGCATTTTAAGGTTGTGATTTTTATAGTACTTTAAAGTAACTATAGAGAAATAGATGTTATTATTTCAGTACAAGCAAAAAAAAATGTTACAGAACTTAGAAACTACTGAACAAAATCTAAACATTAAGATTTTCAGTACATGAAAGTAATAATTAGAATTAGATAAATAGCGCACCTGAAATTTATTTCTGAACAGGCCATATTTTTAATTTAATCCCTTTGCTACCATTAATGAAAGCATTTGCATTAGATGACTTGTGCAGCACTTAACTTGCCTTCATAAATTCTGTTTCAATTATTTTCCACCCTGAGCGAGCAAATAAATGTTGGTTGATGTAGGTACTTTGGATTTCTTCAGCTGATTTTCCTGTAAGCCTGAGGCTTTTTATTCTTTTAACCTTTAACCATGCTGGTGGCTTTGGCCTAACAGTAATAATCAAGGCCATCTATTAACCTTTAAGAGCTTCCACGTCATCCATTTGCCATATAAGTTCTCTTGTGCTATTTTCAATTGTCCAATTACTTTGCTCTGCTCCTCTAATTCTGACAGCCAGCTCATTCAGGATATCTGCAACCTTCTCCCTCCCCTATTTGATGTATTTGATAATTTAGCACTGCAGACAATGAGGGGTTGAGAAGTAACAAGAGCCTTTGAGGATGCAAGGGTCAATGGGAGGATGGAAATGGCAATGAAACCACGTAAAATGCTTAATTTTGTTTGTATCATGAATTTCACTTGAGTGCAAAACTTCCCACATCCATTCAGCACCCTGGCCAATGGGGTCTGGACTCTGTCACTAGCTAGGTTATATTAAAATTTTATTTGTTTATTTATTTATAGAACTTATATGGCTACCTATCTCACACAGTGGCTCCTGAATCAACCCTATCCTAGTCTAATGTTTGGGAGAAGAACCAGGTCTTCACTAAATCACTAAATATTGATGAAATATCAGGATTATAGTGACTATATAAAGCCTGCTTTCATATTTCATCTGTACAAATAACTTCTATGATTGAGTTTAATTATCTAAGCAAAGACAAATAGCTTTATTTCTAAAAGAAGTGCAAAAAAAAAATCAATCAATTCTCTCATAACCTCACTGACATCACTGATATATTAGGCAACTTTTGTCATCCAAGTTGTGCCTAATACATCATAAACAAGGGTTTATGTAAACAAGGGTTTACATCATAAACATTGTCTATGTTATGTTACCCTTTCCATAAAGAAGATCACAGCAATCAAGCTCAACTTTGTTAATTGTAACATCTTTATCAGTTGTGGCAATAGGAACAATTGAAAAGTTTAAATTAAAATGCAGCAGTTTCTCATAGGCTTCAGACAATATCAACAGTAGTTATTGCATGAAAATGCAGAAATCCTTTCTATACATTTATGTCTCTGAAATGGCTATTGCCTAACTCTGTAAGTTTGTCAACATCTTTATTAGGCTTTATTTTTCAAACTGAATACCAATGTTGGAAAATTATTAAGTCATGAGGGGGAGGTCCAAAACTGGACTGAAATATGTGTATTTGGTTCAGGCACATCACTGAAACAAGTATGTTCTGGACAGAAAATGCTTTGGAGTGGAGGAACAATGGGAAATAAGCAAGGCTAGCAGCAGCAGTACTGAAGTGGAAGTAGGGAAAAGCAGCAGCTGGGAGGATCATCGGAGGGATAGGTTGGATATGCCACACTCGAATTCAATAGTAACAGCAACCAAGGGGAGGTAGGGAAAGAAAGCAGCTGGGAAGATAAGGGGAGTAATGTCTGGGCTGGTTGGATATGCTGTACTTGAAATCAAGGGTAACAGGAATAGCTAGGGGGAGATAGAGAAAGGAAGTGGCTGAGATCAAGGGCGGGGAAGCCAATTGGATATGTTGTGCTTGAATTCAAGGGCACTGGCAGTGATTAACAGAAGTCAGAGAAAGGAATAATCTGTGGAAAATGATGGGAGAGAGAAATGTGAAATACCAGCTTGCCATACTTGCCCTGTAAGCCCCCTGAAGATTTTGTTCTGGCCCAAACCAGGAGCCACCAAAATATTCTGAGATTTGGTTATTTCTGCCAGGAATAATTCAGCTGAAACTTCAGATTAAAGTTATTTGTCTCAGGTTTAAAACAAAACACATTTTCCATTGTGTGCATACCCTTATTATTTAACTTTCACTGATTGATTGATTGATGATTATGTGCTGTCAAGTCAGTGTCAATGCTTAGTGACCACATAGACAGATCGCTAGGGTAGCCTTTCTAGATATGACATGGAATATTTTGGGACCTATAATAGTTTGGCTAAGAATGCCAAAAAGAATAATGAAATAATTTTTTTAAAAAAACTCTAAATGTAAAAGGTTATCGGGACAAATTAACTGCCCAAACAATGGAAAGTGTTTATTTTAATTTTAAGATAGGGCACAAAGTAAAAATGTAAATTTGATTGTATTGTTCTAGATACTATATCCCAAAGGATTTCTTCTGGGTCAGAGACCACAGTGAGTTGTTGAGAGGTATGCCAGAAGCGGCGGGAGCATTCTGAAAACTAGTAGATAAGTGCTGGACAAACATACATACACACATAATATATCTTTTCATTTACATTTCAACTTATTTTAAAAATAAATATGGCTAATAAAATTATCATCCAATGACAACTTTTGGAGAACCTAGGGGAAGAAACACACAACTCTTGGTCTCAGGTTGTGCACCTCTCTTTTATGTAGACAAAGAAGTTTTGCAAGGCAGAACAATTGGATTAGAGATATCTGCAATCATATTCTGCTAGCTTTTACCAAACTAGCAAGATTGTTAACACATCTTAATTGAAAGGCAAGTTTGTTTAACAAGAATTGATAAAACATCATTTTATTCAAATAATTAGTTATTTTTATTAATTTACATACAAAGGGAACTTCAATATTTTTTCCTTAAATTTTTTTCTCCTGCCTGATAACTAATCAAGTAAGCAAAGACATACTTTAAAAATAAAAGAAAAAAGAGGAGGAAACAAAAGAGGGGAAAAGGCACTGTCTGTATTTAATGGCATTCCTAAGGGATGTTTTACATAGCATATTTATGTCTGCATGTAAATGGATACAAGAAGTGAAATGTAGTGTCCTCTATTGTATAACAGTTGGATGTCTGTGCATCCACCTTTTTGATTTATATTAAAAAGATATATGAATTAAGCCATTAAAATATATGAATATATATGAATAAAATATATTTCTGCCACAAAGATTAATCTGCAGGTATAACTAACCCGCCAACATTCAGTTTTCTGTTATATCCAACTCTGTGACAAGGAAAATATGCATAATATAATGGAAATTCTTATTAAAACTAAACATGTAATTTACATATATTACAATACAGTTGGTTTGTTAATCCTTCCCAAACTACATTGTTTAAGTCAATGATGGTAACCATGTGTATATCCTTAAAGTTTAAACAACATTTAAGGAAAAAAACAGCCAAACAACAACTTTAAATGAATGAACATATAAAATGGGGTACGGAAGGGATTGTAGTGAGCTGAGCTTTTTATTTATTTTTCTAGTGACCCCTTATAATCACCCCACCCCCACTCACTGCCTGAAGGGAACGTGTGTAACAATCCCACTAAATCAACACTGTTCTAATGATCTCACTCACTTGACCCCCTAGCATACTAGTGTCAGATGCAAACACGCTTACAATAAACTTCACTCCATCCTTAGCTCCTCACTGACAGGTTTTGATTCATGGGGTGCTGAAACCCATCTGAGGAAAATTACCTCTATCAAAACACTGCTATCTCAGCATCTATCAAGCTTTGCTATAGCCCTGGGGCATACTTGAATATGCACGTGGGCATTTGTGTATGAGAAGTGGGGGTGGAAGCTGACCTTTCTTCTGAAATGACAGATACATCTCTTGAAGCTTGTGATTTTAATGTTTTCTTCTTTCATTGTTCACACAGAAAGCTTTGAAGAATAATTCTAGTTATTCAAGTAGGAATCTCAAACCTTAAATATGGCATACAGCCTAACATTCATAGAATCTCAGGGCTATTTCATCATTTTTTCAAAAAATCAAGGTATTAGAAAAACTGCACATTTGTTTTATCTGTGTATAGCAATTGGGACTGAAGAGTATGTTAATCAACCTTTAGCATCTTTTTTAAAAGAAAATTTATGGGAAACGTAAACATTCTTAAAAGGTGATAAAAACTTAGTAATACCAATAGAAGAGTATATATGTAGCTCAGGGTTGAACTGTGGAGTCCTTGGGGTTCTCTGAGCTTGGTTGTTTTCTTGCAGACATTTCATTACCTGGCTAG